TCATTTTGCTGACACTTAGAAAGTGGAGAAAAAGCAATGGCATTCTGAGCTCCTCTGTGGTACTTTGTTGCCTCATCTGCTCACCCTTACACAGTAGAATGTGGAAGGGCATTGCTGATTCATGAAGACCTTGGATCTCTCCCCTTCTAGGGTTTAGTCCCTTGGGCCTTTTCCTCCCAGAAAGTAACAGTTTCCCTGAACCTCCTGTAGACTTCTTCCTTGGAGTTTCTCAGAAAGCTGCAGGACGCAATAAAGTGAGAAGAGCTACTAGAAAGTTCTAGACTAGATTTACCTGAACTCAGGTAGCTCTAATCCTGGAGTAGGGCAAATGGGGGTGAGGGATGTTGTGAGTGTACATGTGAATCAGGCATAACATATGAAAATAAATCACCGCAGCTTTCACAACAGTTTTGACAAGGTGTCAGGATCAAAGATGCTTTCAAAAAGTGCATGATGAGAAGTCTCTGTTTTTCCCTCTAAGGCAGAAAGCTAGCTTGAAGTTAAGATGCAAATCAAGCATAGATTGACATGCTTCTATAAGGAGAGTATCAATAAAAGATTACTCAAAGGACAGTCACTAGGACAAATCAAATGTAAGTTCTCTCTCTCTCTCTCTCTCTCTCTCTCTCTCTCTCTCTTCCTTTCTGTGAATGATCTGTCATCAGAAATTCAGGGGAACAATCCTAAATTTCACAAGGCATTGTAATTTATTAAATAATTCCTCATCTTATAGGAAGGAGCTGAAACAGCCCACACACTTATGTGGAAAAGTGAACAAATAGAATATACCAGTCTTTCGGAAAATAATCCAGCGTGTACTGGTTAGATATCAAGTCCTGGATGGCTAAGAGACAATGCTGTGTGGTGAACTAAATATGGATATTGTAGTTAATGGTCTCTTCTTTAAGTTCAGGCTCCATGCACTGCCAGCTTCACCTTGAACCATTTTTTTACCTCTCAATGTCTCAGTTCTCTCCTCTACTAAAATGAAATAGCCCTTCATTCATGTTGGCTGCAGGATTAAATAAGAAAATACATGTAGTACCCAATGGCGTGTTGGGTCAACCCCCAAAACAAGCGCTACTGGTTTTCTCTTCTCCAGTCCAGGAAGGTAACTTTGTAATCAGCCATCTCTAGAGGCTCTCTCTGCGTGGTCCTAACATTACAATTCACGGTGGGACACTAGACATGTTTTCCCACAAATAACAGGATTTTCCCACCCCAAAATAATATTGAACCAACGCTGTTATAAAAGATATTAGCGCCTATATTTAAAAAAAAACAGAAACAAACAAAAAACATTCTTTAATTGCTGTGACAAACCCTCCAATTTAATATTCAGTTTTATTGAGATAGGGTCTTGTTTCTGGCGTGCTATGAACGAGGGTGACACCATCATGCCTAACTCCAAAGTCGTTTCGACTGTCTCCACCCTGAACTCTGCCCCTCACTGCCCAATCTCTTAACCCCTCTGTTATGCTGTTTGGCTCTTTTCGCCCCCACATCTATCAGGTGCTTTTTCTAAATTGCATGTAGCAAGAACCCACCTCTCTCAGTTTCTACAGCCTCACAATGACCCAAGACACCCTCCCTTCTGAGATCTTAGCTAAATGACTGCGATCTCTCTTGGGGGGACGGCCATTGCCAACTCTTGTCAGATCTATTGCCATCTCCACGCTGCGAGAAGGTACCCGGGATCTGAGAGCATCACTTTTCATGATGAAGCCCATAGCAGCTCCCCACTGCCCTTTGAATAAAGCTTTCGATGTTTATGTGACTTCTGAGCCCAAAGGACACACTCATTTGCTTTTAGCTTTATCTCCTGTCAAATTTTCTCACAGCAAGCCAGGTTAGAACCTATTTCATAGAATGACTATTTTAATTTCTTTAAAAGTCTTCCTTCCAAGCTCTGAGGCTCTACATATGCCGCCCTTGGATTTTCCAGGCTAAATTCTATCAACCTTTTCAGTTCCTAGTTTCTCGGATGAGGATCTCTTCTGTCACCACATGATAGATCCTTGCAGCGCTGTTCCTCACAACAGCCACGATTTTCAGGGGTAACTGAAGGTCTCTCTTCTCCAATTCGTTCCTGAACCCTAACACAAGATCTGGTGCTTAACATCCTGATGAATATTGACTGAATTTTTATGGCTGTCAAGCTTGGGGAGGGGTGGAATCAGCAATTAAAATTACTTGCTGACAAGGCTTCCAAATCAAGTATCCTTAGAAAAATGACAAGAGATATAAGGTAGTGGACACACACCTAATGATTAAATACTAAGGCCAAAAAGAACCCAAAGAGATAAAAGTAGCCACTTAAGGGTAAAAGTTGCTGTGTCTATAAGAAAGGCTGGACCAGCATATGTGGTATCTAATTGTGAACACAAAGGCTTGGAGGAGTGCGAGGGTGATAGGTTTATTAGGTCACGGATGTTTGACATATATCTATAACCTTTGAATATGACTCCCAACAGGATTGCGACTGTCCAGAGCAGGTAAGTAGGACATCTGAATTGATGTGACCTGTTGTGACCTTTCTAATGTCATGTTCCCGTTTCCCCTCTGATTCAATTGTCTGCATGGATGGAGGTAACAGCACTGTGTTCGTCTTCACCCTTGTACACTGCTATCACAGCCCATTCTAGAATACGGGTGGATCCTTGGTGAAAGCAGTTCTTAAATGCTACAAGATAGTGTGTGTGAAAGAGAGGGTGGGGGTGGTAGGGTAAGCAGGAGAGCTTAACATTAGGCAGGATCAAGTGGATACCTTAAGTGTACGTACAAACACACACACACACACACACATACACACACAGACATTCTCTCTCTCTCTCTCTCTCTCTCTCTCTCTCACACACACACACACACACACACACACACACACACACACACATTCTTCCACTCTTAACCACCGATGAGAGCATGGCTTTCACTGTTTCCTGAACCCTGCAGCCTGATTTAGCTCTGGCTATGCTTGGCAAGCTCCTTCCATATGCTGGGCTGCTCAGGAGCAGGGTTGGTTTGTAAACCGTCTGTAAGCCCCAGGTGCTTTGCCTCACTGCCTGCCTGTGCCAGCCTAACTCCTTCTAGAGCATGATGGGAAGCCAATGACATTCCATAGAATTTTCCACTTTTCACTTTAATGGGAGAGAATTATGTCAGTAGTTATCAAAAGCAATAGATGGTGTACAGGTTGTGTACACCACAGCTGTGTGCTTCTTTTGAATGTTTCGTGAGAAGTCGATAAACAATCACTAACTTCGTTGGGGAAACTATAGCATTTCTTTCCCTTTCCTTCAGACATGGTGGAACGACATCTACAAGGCCGTAAAGAGTTTAAGAAAAAGCAAGCCCAAGTCTAAACCGGGAGATCTTTATGAGCACTTACCCTACATAAAAGTCGGAGTAAGTTAGTAGGAAGGGATGTTTCTGCGTGCCCAGCTGGGTGGGATGAATAAACTCTTGACACATTCATTGAAAACACAGAATGAACGTAGGTGATGTGATATGCGGAACTCGTGTGTGTGTGTGTGTATGTGTGTGTGTGTGTTACAGATAACTCAGTAATTATACAGATCATCAATAGGCACTGGTGAATCCACGGAGAAAGGGAAAGTACAGTTAGTTACAAGAGAAGAAAAATGAAGGGATAGTGATTCATAACATTCTGTCTTAGCACAAGGGGGCAAAGCATATTCAGTATCAGCAATATTTGTGAGGAGGAATTAACAAATAAAAACTACAATACACACACACACACACACACACACACACACACACACACACACACACATAGCCTAAAACCTTGCATTTCCATCTTCCTAGAGGCCTGTTGACTGTACCTCCCCCACGTGGCAGACACTGTTCTGACTGCTTTCAATCTTCTAAGAGACAGGAGAGCTTTGTGCCCTTCTCCCATCCTTTTTTTGCAGACCAAAATAGAAGAGCTTTATAAAGAAAGTTACCTAAAGATTTCCAAGATAGCCACTCAACTCTCCCGAGAGAGAGAGAGATAGCTAAGCACAGTCAGCATAACCTCATAACAAACCCACTCCAATCCCAACATCCATCCCCGACTCCCTAGTCCTCTCCACCCAAGAATAACATTAATGCTAATCAGACTATTAGCCAGGGTGCTTGGTTTGAATTTGAAAAATTGGAGGAACGAGCTTATAAATTATTTTCCCAGGATATCATCTTTAAGCATTAACAGCTCTAACTGACTCTGGATTCTGGGAAGTGAGCATAATTACATGGAAATTGACAGGACACAAATGCCAAGAATTCTGTTAACCTTTAGTATCTCTTAAAAACTCCCTCCTTGTAATTATCTCTTTCTTTTGTCCTAAATGTTACTGATGAATATGTAGCGGTGTAAGCAAACAAGAGGGTGGATGGACTGTGGGATCTTGGTCTCTGTAATTCTAGAGTTCTCCAGATGGTCCATAAGATACCAAGTGATAAATAATGCGCTTGGAGTTTGACTGTATCCAGAAGTTGTCTCCATCATGGTATTTTTTTTCTTTCTACTGCTGTTCTCTGCTTAGAATTCTCCAGGCTGGTTGGAGTTCCTCTGCAATCGGATTATAGTGGAAATGCAGATGTGAGGCAGTGGGTGTCTAATGCAATTCCTGACCTGTTCTGTGTCTTTGCAAAAGTCACCGCGCCCTTTCTGTGCTTTGGATTTCCTTTCTGTAAAGCGAGTGTGATGACATTTAGCTCTAACTGCAACAATATTTGCATAGTGCTGTAAACTTTACAGAAGACATTTACATCTCTTATCTCACTGGTGTCTGGGTGTCCCATGCTTTCTCCCTCCTTTTCAGACTCCGCTACCGTCACCAAGGTTCTCTTGTGTTCTCTTTTTCTCTATGTACAATCTTAATTAAGTCTTAACTCATCCCTTGGCTTCCAGCCCTGCTAGAACTAGTCCTTAAGGGCCAGAGCAAACTTCTTGGCGTGGGAAGTTGAATGGGTGTTGTTCATCACTCTAACTGGGAAGCAAAAGCTGCTATCAGGACCATGAGGCCAGAGAGATTACATGGTCAGCAATGTGCTGAGCGGTCATTTGTGGATGTCAAATGCCTGCCTGATGTTTAGGTGAGTGAAACCTTTTTTTCTTCTTTTCAGTCGAAAATTGTATTTCACTCATCAAGTAAACAAGCATTCTCTTGCTTGTTTTTAATGTTTACTGTGCCTCTAAGAATGTACCATCTTGCAAACCATGCAAAGATTGCTTGACTGGTTCAGATCTTTACCTAGAAGTGTCACTAGTTCGGGAGATTGTATCAGCGGTGGGAATGTTTATTGGGGGGTGTGAGTCACTAGTTGTACATGTCCATGACAGCCCGCAATCGGTGTAGCTGCCACGCTCACAATCACTGCACAGATGGAGGCAGCTGTGCCTCTCTACGTCCCATGGTAAAGCTATGTGACCCAAGATTTATTTTATATTTATCACCAGTCATTTTCTATTAAATTCAAAAGTTTCAGCTAGGATATTACATAGGTCACTTTTGAAGTAGGTATGGAAGTGGCTTATTTTAACTAAGATTTTAAGTTTTATACAGTAATGAAAATACACACTATTTCAAATGAGCTTCAGTTTTGTTAAGTTAAATGATCGCTGATATAAACAAATTATTTGAATCCAGCTTTATGCTTCTTGAATCGATCTCTAGTAGGTTTCAGCAGCTCTGTCAGGTTGTGGTAAGCTTGCCATTGAGAACTATGCTAGGTGTGTGCCACCACCGCCTGGCAAGGCTAAACTCCAGCATTAGGCTTTGCTCTGACCTCACTGCCCCCCTACTGACCTTCAGTAGCTCAATCATCCTAAACTAGTGGTCCTTCCTGGACTGTCACACTGATAATCATTAACTTTACATGAAAGAAACTTTCTGGCATTCATAATTTTTTATATAGTAATCAGGCAGGATCAGGGTAAATAACACTTCCTCCATGAAACATTGAATGAATCAATGTTCCCCACTACTGGAATACATCCTCTTTAACATATGTGCATGTGTGTGTGTGCATGTGTGCGTGTGTGCGCACATGCCACACACACACATATATATGCTATGAATACACACATATATCACAACATTAAGTACATACACTATCCATACATCTATGTACTATTGAATGTTTATTATGGTTATGGTTATTTGTATTATAGATGGCTGTGTATTCATTTGATCTCACCTATTGTGACTTAGATAGAAACTTTCTGGAGGAAGGTGCTTTCATTTCTGGTTTCTTTATTCGCCTTCCCAATGCTGTCAATGTGTGGGAATGAGAATGTAAGTTCAGTAAATACTCATTTCACTGAGCTGTATCTCCGTTCCTGCATTGGTCTAAGCACTATTATCCTTCCTTCACTCATGAGGAAACTGAACTCTAAACCTGGAAGGCTTTTGTTTGTTTGTTTTCATTTTGATTCAGGGATTGTTTTGTACATGAGATTTCACTGGGTAGCCTAGCAGGCCTGAGATTTTCTATGTAGATCAGGTTGGCCTTGAACTCCCAGAGTTCCACCCACCTCTGCTCCTGAGTGTTGAGAGTGAGAAAGTGAGGGCCGCCACGCCCACTTGGGAGATTCTTATATGTAGAGCATCAGGTGGGCATGATGGAGAGGTAGAAAAAGTCAACCTCCAGCTCATTCAAGGTCTGGGTCCACGCGTAGAAGAGATCTTGAGGTTTGCCCATGTTTTCATAGGCGCACACACAAAATCAACTAATTTCTGCATCGAAATTCCAGTACAGAGGTTAGCATTCCTCTGACTTCATGTGCAGCTGCCGAGGCAAAGACTTCCACTTCTGAAAACCTCCTCATCCCCAAACAGACTTGCAGCTTTCTCCGTTTTAAGATTAGATTCCAAGAGATTTCAGGCAGACGTAAAACACCCGCTTCCCAGAACCTTCCAAAGGCTTGCTGGTGGCGGAAGGGTCAAGTTCCAGCTGTGCTCTCTGGCCCAGTGCCAGCCCTGACAGAGCCCATCCATCACAGCTGAAGCCTGCCCTTCTCCCACGCAGCTCGGGTTGGAAATGGAAGTGGCCTTTTAACAGAACATTGTCTTAGAATTGTGTGAAGCAAGGCTGACAGAGAAAGGAAGATTCATTCCTGACACCAATCATACTAATATCTGTCACCAAAATGACATTTTCCCTTTAATGATGAAGAATGCATCAGAATAGAGGGAGGGGAATGTGCAGCCTTCGCTGTGATGCTCTGGCCTGGGAAGGAGGGAGAAAACCTCTGCTGCTGGTGGCCTCAAGGTGGAGTAGGTGAAGGAATGAGGACCAGCCCACCAGTGAACAAAGAAAACTCATACCTGGTTTAGAAAAGCAGGCTTCACGCAAAGAGAAGCCTCTGAGTTAGGGAATATCACTAAGTAATATCTAATCCATTCCTCATGAAGCTCTTTGTTTGGTTTCTACATAGAACCATCTCCATATTTTTCAGGCCCTGAGCTGGGGCAGGGGTGTTCAGGGCTAATTTTCAGGGATGCCAAGTACAATTCCCTCACACGGAGTTAGTAAGCCTCTTAAGCAAGTAGCTCTTCTGTGTCTCGAGCCCCAGCCTCTGGAATGTGAAAGGGCTGAGACTGAAAATCCAGGCAGAATGCAGGTTCCCTGTGCATACCCAGGGACCAGTCTAAGGGTAAGGGTGGTCCGTGGAAGGAAGAACAGACACCAGAGAGCCACAGTTTCATAAGCCAAGTGCATAGAGAGGTAAGGACTGCCCCAAACGTGACAAATGCTCCCTCCCTCGGTGAGCAGTTAGAGAGAAACATGGCGGCGGCTGCCCCAAATGCTCGCTGGTTGCTTTTCAACTTCAATGTCTCTCTATCTAGCAGTCCAAGGATGGTGACATCTTCATGAAGTTTTCTTTCCTCTCCTCTCTTTCCCATCGTTACTCATCCACGTACCTCTCTTCTGCGGCTATGTATGGCCACGTCACACAGCAAGATAATGTTGAGGAAGTTTACATACATGAAAATGCAGCATGCATTTTTCTCTCAGGACCCATACTTTGGTCCTTATGTTTGGGTGATTGAGGGAGACATGAAAAAGGGAAGCTGCTTTCTCCTAGTTTCTCTAGAGGTTCTCCTGTGCAAGCCTTCGCTGAATTATTAGACACACCCTGCCTACTTCCAGGTTACTGCGGGAGCTCCTTCTGCTCCTTCAGTCAATAGCCGCTCAGATACCAGCCCATTGGGGCTCGGTCTCTCTCTCTTTAAAAAAGCAGCATCTGCCCTTCGCTCTCTCTCTCTTGCTTCTGGCTCTGTTTCCAACTACTAGGCTCCTTTCCTGATCATGCAGAGGGCTGTTGTCTGGGACGGTGACCTGTAAGTTTTTCCCCTTTAAATAAATAACCATTCTATCAATCATAATTCCAAACTGGTGTGGAATTGTTTGTGACTTACACCTTCACCAGGTCTCTCTCCTGGCATTAATTCCTAGGCCTCTGAGAATAAAGCATTTGATTAGTTGCTGTTGAAATTATCCAAATAATTCTATTATCTCTATTGCAGAGAAATAATGAAGTAACTTGTAAGGACAAGATATGTGGATTCCTGTATCCAGTCTCTAACTTGTTCTAGTCTGTGTCCCGTAGGCTTTCTTTTATCCCCTTGTGCACTCTTATAACTATTGACATGCCTAGGAATCACATGACTCCAGGGCACTTCTGAAGATTTTAGACTTTCACAATTCTCTGCAACGCTAATTAGCACAACACCTACACATTAGTTAACCTGCCAGCGAAGCAATGCTACATCATCGTCTTTATGAAGAAGGAAACTGAGTCATTTACCTCCCTTTATTTGCATGAGTGGGCCCCTGACTCTCCACCCCCTCCTCCATTTTCCATTTCAGACATACTTTAGCCATGCAAAGATGTAGCTTTTCACAAACTGTTCGTCTGAACAACTGAGATCCCAAAAGGATTGACAAACAGATTGTTTAAGGCGGAAGTCATAATATAAAACTCTGAAAATAATTGAAACCATGCTGTCTACATCCTCAAATGGGGTCTGATATGCTGTTCTTGGCCTTCTATGGCTCCTTGTGTCCTTTCAGACACAAAACTCCCCAGCAAGAGCTTCAAGGCCCAGAGGGATGTCTAAACTCCACGAATGACTCTAAAAGTCTCTGCCATAATGGAGAGAAAGGATAGGCAGGGCTGTTCCCAGGGATGCTCAGCAGGCAGTGGGAAGAAGCTTCCTGCCCAGAGGCGGTGGTGCTAACCAGCCCCTCCGGGAGGTGGCGGCGGCTGGAGAGGGGGTCATACGCTATGAGCATGAGACATCAGGGATCCCGCTGACATCTTTCTATCAAAAACATATGTTCTTGATTCCCAGAGTGTCAGGCACCACTGACAGAGTGGGCAAGAACCAGACTCTCCCTGTCTCTTCGTCCCATGATGGCACCAGTTTCCCGAGAGGAAAAAAAAAAAGAGGAACTTGGATGAGGGAAGATTCTCATGCTTGTTGCAGCCTTATGTTCATTAGAAGCGGGCCAGACTGATGGCCTTTCTTAGCAGTTGTGCAAACCAATGTCCAGCAGAGGCATCATGGCGATCTAACATCCAGGGGTTGAAAGCACCACATGCCTGCTTCCCTAGAAGCAGGTCATCACCTCCTGGTGATAAAGGGCCGTGTGTTTACCAACTGCTTAAGTGATATGACGCAACATGCACACACACTTTTAGTTTGCATGAATGACTTTGCTCAAAGAATATTTGGTATAATACCCACACATACACAGGGAGACAAGTCCACAGGGCTGGGACACACACAAACACACACACACACACATATGAGACAAAACTTTCTACTTTCACGCTGCAACAATCACAACCACAACGGACATCAAAATGTTGGGTCTGTTGGGAAAGACATAATACATTGCTTTCTTGTGCAGTTTAATTCTGCTCCACCCATTCTGCCTAGAAAAAGATATGTTCCCACTTGGCAGATGAGTAAAGTAAGATTCACATTGGTCAGGAAGCTAACAGAGTTCCCCCTGTGAATTGTCAAAGAACTTAAAGAACTTAGCTTCAGATGGAGTCTTCCCAACTTCATTTTTACTTAGCA